CGGCACTAAATTTTAGTGTTGCTATGCTAACCACTGAAATGAGTTTTTATACATATATTTTCTCTGCACTCAGCTCCCTCTCTCATTTTTTGTCTTGTCATGGTAGGAAATGAGGAAGGGGGAGAAGGAAAATAGGTAAGAGGAAAGAGAAATCTGAATTTTGGTTGTCGATTGGTTTTGCCGCTTTACGAAAATGCTTAGGTCATTATAGATGACTTTTATCATATTTATTTTTTCAAAGATTTTGATTTCAACTATTGAATTTTTTCCAAATTAATTTTATTACATTTTTTCCGGATTTAGTGAACTTTCATCGCGTAACTTTTCATATATCATAATATTGATTATTCTGAACATTTGGTTGGTTACTTATGAAATTTCACTAGATAAAATGATAATTATTATGTTTGGTATGATTTTCATATAATAGTAATTTTGGTATTTTAATATTAGCATACTATTAATATAAGCATTATAAATGCATATAGGTGCGTGATTGAGTAATAGCTGGTTGCTAATACTTTTATAATAATATGTGTGAAAGATAAGTAAAGGTTTATTATTTATTAACGTTGGCTGAAGACTAACTGACCTGTACATGATGGTGGGTCGATGGGCTTTTCTTTAAATACTGTGGTTTAGTATTATCCTCCACTAATTCACGTGATTCACTGATTGGGAATACATGGAGTTAATTAATGTGTCGACATATAAAGAGCGATGAATTTGTTTACTTAACCAACAATTACTAATTTACTAATTACTAGAATAAATATCGTGCAAGCCAGATTTCTTTACTTGTTTAGTATGACTACTATGATGCATGCATTGTACCAATTTACTATTACTATATTGTTTTATTGTTACTGGAATATATTTTATGAATACTAATATTGATTCACTATCGCTGTTATTGCTACTGATTTACAATTATTGTATTGATTTTTTTTGTTATTGAGCACGTGATTCTTAATATTGAATGTGTGATATAAAGCATTGATATAGAATAACTGAACATCATATATATAGTCCTATACAATTTCTTGATATTACTACACTGCATGGCTATGAATTTTAATAATTTTTTTGAGTATTCTCACCACTTATGATTTATTTATTGATTAAATAACACTGCTACAATGTATGATTTAAGAATGTTTTATTGTTTTGACATCTGTATTGGTTTATAAATCTTATTATTTTTGAATGGCACTATTTTTCTAGCCTCCATGCCATACTATTTTACTATTTTTTCAGGTTTTATTTTTGTTGTTTATGCACAAATTCATAATTATAATGAGTATTATGGTTATGAATTGAGTGATTACATGTATAATGTTTATTTACCATGATTTGAGTTTCATTGTAGGATTTTTTTTAGCTCATTATATGTGATTTAAATAATTTCAGGTTAAGGAAAAGGATCAAGAGTGTGAGACTGATCAGTTACAGGATTTTTTGAATTTTATTATTATTTGATTTCTTTTTATCTTTTAGATATTCTTTTATAGTCAGGACTATATGGATAGTTTATTATATATGTTTGACTCTTGGTTATTATATATACTTTTTATATAACGATTACATATGTATATGAATGTTTTAATCTTTAGATTCATTTTTCGTTGATATTTATATTATTGAATGAAATTAATAGGTCTGGTTATTATATATAAAAGATAAAAGATACAATTCTTTTTAATTTAGATTATGATGTGTCATAAACTTGATATTAGAGCAAAAAATTTTGGAAGAATTAAATTGTTACTAGAGCTATATAAATTGATTTTGAGTCGGATAAGATTGGGTAGATTAATGTGCATTATTTACATATATAATTGAGTCCATGCATGAATTATTTAGATATAAGTGTACAAGTGAACAATTGAAATGGATATGTGAGAGCAAAATGTATCGAATGAACAACATAATGCAGCTCCAATAACCTTCAGACAGTGTTATGCAGCTGGCCAATGTTATAACATAGGTAATGGGAGATATACATAGCAAGTCAGCTGAGAGAAAGGAATAAGAGAGAGATACGCATTTACATATATTTTATAAACTGAAGTTTTCACTTATCAATGGAGCTTAGAATCCCAAGCTGTAGAAGATTGACCACTGAGGATAGAAAACAAATCTTCGACAGTATGTAATGTCCAGAGAACTAGAAGACATCGTTAATTATTTTTCTATTTGAAGGTGAAGCAAAAAGATGGAGAGTATGACAACAACAAGAGAAATTTTAGGAAAAAATCAATATAGAGATTACTTGGGTAAGAGTTCACTATAGTATTCAGGATATGGTTTATATCTCTTTCAGCCCGACAATAAATATAGGAAGCCTTTATCGGACTAGAACAAGGACGCAAGACAGTGATGCAACATGAAGCTGAGTTCACAGCATTGGTTATGTATGCTCCTTATTTAATTCCTACTACTGAAGAAAAGTGTTACGGGTTTATGTAAGGACTAAACAAGGAATTGAGACATTTGTTAGTACCTCTATGAATTTAGGAGATTCCTGAGTTGGTGGAATTAATGATCCAGATTTATTTGATAGTATGGGCATCCATGTATGATGTGACAAGGAGGAAGATTAGGGATAAATCAAGCAGGGATAGAGAAAGTATCACTGATAAGAGAAGCTAATATAATGAGTTAAGGGAATTTGGATCGATAACATCGACCAGGAGAAGCAATGAGACACATTTTTCACGTGTCGATTTTTTTTATTATTTAAATATTATTTCTATAAATGATATGGGTCACATATTAATTAAAAAAATAAATTTACTCTAATAATTTTTTTAATAAATAAATATTCATTTAAAAGCATGTTGATTACCTAGTTGAAATTTTGTCGCTTTCGTCGAATTTTGCTCATTTATCAAATTTTCGTCATTTTTTTCGTGCGCGTAGCTAGCCAAGGTGGGTGTTCTTCTATTCCTAGTAATTTCAATATTTTGGACAAAGTATCATGGTTCGTTTTGCTAGTGAAGGCTGCTCGGGCAACTTCGCGCCTGTAATTTAACTTTTTCAACCATTTTCACTCTAATAGATTGCAAGACATCATTTATGGGTAATTTTAATGCTTCATACACAATGACATAATTTGTTTTATGAACGGGTCATTCGGCAATTTCACAAGTAATTATTACGTCCGTTCAAATCCGAACATATCTGAATGTATACCGAGCAATACAGAGTTTCATGTGACATGGCGTGTGGTTATTAGTCTATGAACGTGTTCGGTTGACCAGACGTAATAATTGCTCCAATTTTACACAACTTCGCGCTTGTAGTTCGCTATTTCTATTGTCCAATCAAGCCTTACATGAAGGAAGCATATTGGATAATTTTGATGTTCTAATGCATTGGTGCTGTTCATTTTGCAAGCGAACAACATTTTGGGTGATTTCACATAATGTATTGGCATGTCGAACCTATCTTCCGCAGTATCGTGTCAATCGACCTCATTCTAGTTGGGCACACTTGCATTACTTATGTTATGTAAATTAGGGGTGAAAACAAATATATTTATATTTAAAGTGAAAAGAAAAACAAAGCAAGTAGAAAAAAAAAAGAGCGAATACAACCAAAATCATATTAGATATTTTATTTAGCTGAAGCATATTTTTTCAATACCTGCTTTATTCATAAAAGCATGCATATAACATGATCTTTTATTGTCACACAGAACAAGCCTCCAGCAATTTTCTACATGCTAGAGGTTGAACATGACCTTAATTGCTTTACCACCACGAGCGCTAACTTCGAATGCTTCCTCGACCTCCTCCTGAGAAAACCCAAACCGGTGAGTTATCAAAGGCTTCACATCAATTTTTCCAGACCTTATGAGTTCAATGCACAGGGGCCAAGTTTCTTTGTACCGGAATGCACCAATAATATCAACTTCTCTGTAGGAAACAAAATAAGCAGAAAAATTTAGAGAAACTATGCTTTCATGAGAAAAATGATTAATACTAGAGATTCATAAGATCCTAGGCTAAGTTTTTTCACCTGTGTTGTTACAGGAAGAAAAAGGTGATGAAAGAAAGTTACCTTGCTGCTACAGCAGAAGTAAGAGGAATAGTCATCTCATTGTGGCCCATTCCTACAAGGCAAATCTTGCCACCGGTGCGAGTGGCATTCAGCGCGGTCGACATTGTTTTACTGAAGCCAGCGCAATCGAAGGTCACATCGATATCAGAACCCATAGCTTTTTTTATTTGCTCCACTTCCTGGTCTAAGTCCTGCAATTATGATATGCAGGAGAGTTAATCAGTTATTATATTATATATTTGATTATGAGCAAGCAAATAATTGTAAATATCATAACAAAAAAGATGTTATCTGAGTATAATGTAAAAAAAGAAAGTTAATATTCACGGCACCTTAAAGTTTTATGGACCAAAAATTCTACTACTAGAATTTTTCTTGCTAATCTGGCGCAGCCCAACAAGTATAGATCAACAAGCATGGTGAAAAGGGCATGCCATGAGTTTAGCACCAATTTGATACGGTTGATCAAACCAACAAGAGTTTGCCGATAGGACATGAAAAGCTTGTGACAAAGATCAATGAGACTTTCTCTTCAACGAGCAGGGAGTTTAAATGCCTACAATGCTACAAATTGACATCTTACAAAAAGCCAATATCCGAGATACACTAAGCGCTTAGGAGTTCATAAGATATATAATTTTTTGAAAGCGCAATTTAGATGAACAAAATTGTAGAAAGATTTCAAAACTTTATTAGTAGGTGTCTTACCTAACAAATTATATAGGTGAAGAATTACATACTGGTTGAACTAGACCCTAATAATTGCATAGTTAAAGTGGGAAGAAATCCAATGTTTTTTCTTATAGCCCTACTAGAAGACCTCAAGGGCATGACACTAATTTGGTCATATGGTTGAGCAACTCAAGAGGAGAGCTTATTTATTGCTTCTCGAGTAAGCTACGACTGTTTACTAACAAGTATGAATTTATGTTGACACCATTTGACTCCATAAAGTGTTGAGAATGATATTGGACATAAACAGTTTACATCTCAATGTTAAGCGTACCACAATTGACTTCAACATGATGTTCACCTTCAAACTGATGGACAATTAAGAAAAGTATTAAAACGTGAAGACCATACTTAATGTTTTGTTTCCTTCTATCATAAAGTATCATTTAACTCAAATTAACTAATATTTACTTGTCATTTTTTTAATAAACCTAAGTATCTTATTTTCCTAAAATTGTTTTATTATGTTAAACTATATTGGCATAACAAATAGCATAACCAAGGGACTTCATTTTCAATATATGTTGTAAGAAATCCAATCATCACTACATAGATAATGTCTCAAAACTAATATTTAACATAACTAATTAGAAAATGGGATCCTATCACAACTACTTCATCAATTTATATTGTATTATACATATATTTTAATAATTCATCATATATTATTTGACGTAAATATTTTTTTCGTGATGTCTACAAAATCAATTTTGCGATACTTAGGCTTTGTTTGGGACGGTTGCCTTACTGCTTCTTAAAGCAGCTTTTTAGTATTTTTGTACTAGAAAGATGCTTTAAGAAGCTCTAAGAAAGTCATCCCAAACGAAACCTTAATCTTATACATTTTCAAATTCAGTAGAGAATTTATAAAATTTTGTCAATGCTCTCTATATTTCTATATTAATGCCCAAGTGCAAATCATCTTATAGTTGATCTTTATACCATAAAATCAAATTTGTTATCCTTAGTTTTACATTACTAATCTTTTTGTTTGATCATCCTCTCATATAGCTTCATCGTATGATTCATACAAGCCCTCTTTACAAATTTTTATAGCTTTAATGATTCTTCATAACGACACCAACTTACTTTTCTTTTCCTATATTTATCTAAATTATATTTTTCTTCACGTACAAGCCAGCTTTACTATTTTTATAGCTTCCTCATAATCTAGTTTTTTCCATTCCTCACACTTTTCTCACTCCAGCAAAAAATCTCCTTAAAAATAGTTTATTTACAGATTCGGTAATATCGTAATGAAATTAGTCAATTTGAAGGGAAATGATGAAGGTTGAAGAAAAAGAACGTTATATTGGTTACTCCCACATCCACATAAACAATGCAAAATATATCTTCAAATGATTATTTTACTGCAAGCTTTTTGTTTAAAAAGAAAACTACATTGAAGTTTTAGCTTGTCCTATGTTTCCAGCCCCATGATCATGTAGTAAAAGCAACTAAAGAACAAGGCATTAGAACAAAATAAACAAGTAAAATAAAATTCAAACCTCAATGCTTGGAGAAACCTTGACAAATTCATCTGCCCCAAGAGATTTTGCAATCAAAAGGCGTTGTTCATCAACATCGGCTATAACAATTCTTGGGGATCCAAAGGCACGAGCTGTGAACATTGTGACTAATCCTATAGTTCCGGCCCCAACGATAAGCACATTTGTTTCTGGATTAATATTAGCTCTCCTGCAAGCATGTACCCCAACACTAAGGGGCTCGCACATAGCCCCTTCCTCCAAATTCACATTGTCAGGAAGCTTAAAGCAAAGATCAGCAGGATGCACCAGCTGCAAATAATATATTTGAACAAAGTTCTAGCATTAAAACGCTATTGAAACTCCAAGGTAAGAAAAAAAAGTTTAATTACCTACCAGTACAAAATTTTTAATTTTTATACTAGGAAGCTGTTTTGAGAATCAATAAAAAAGCCGCCCCAAACGAAATCTTAATATCATTTGCTTAGAAGTTAAACGATTAAGAAAATACATCAATATTGCTTTCAAGCATTGTAAGGTGTTTAAATTTGTCTATGGTTCTTATCTTTGCGCAGTCATCCACACCAACAGAAGCTTTTTGTTAAATAAACAAAAATATTGTGGATTATAGACTTGTAGAACTAAAGAGCTAATATGAACATCAATGGCTGATAACCTGATTAGCAAGAGAACCATGAATTGGCGGAAGACCTAAGGACTTTGTGTCATCACATAGGTTGTAACGCCCAGCCTTGCAATACTTGCAGCGCCCACAGGTCATTCCTGGTTCTACAGCGACACGGTCACCCACAGCAAGAGATTTCACTTCACTTCCCAACTCTTCAATAATTCCAGCACATTCATGTCCAATCACCATAGGCTCTTTCACAACATAATGAGTCATCCTCATAGTCTATGATTAAACATCAATGATGTCAGATAAATATTTCATCCAAGAAATGTAAAGGGAATAAGAAAATTTATAAACCTTCAGATAATGGACATCAGTGCCACAAATGCCAACAGCTTTCATGCGCACGCGAACATCATTAGGGCCTGAGAAATGATGAGAAAAATCATGTGAGAATGATAGTGCAAAGTAATGGACATCAACTACTTGCATCATTTTCAATATAGTTATCATGTGACCATCTAGAGACCAAATCAATGACTATGCGATAGGTAATATATGATAAAATAAGTGTTCTGATAGAGTTATAAATGAGTATGTAAGCGAATTGGATATCTGCATCATTTATAAATGAAGATAGTTTTTCTCTACTACAGATTTTCATAAGGTTTAGTTGAAGTTTATCTTAATTAATGCAAATATTTAACTAATGTTTTGTGTGGGTGAGGAGGAAAAAAAACCTTGCAATCTTCTTTTATGAGCTATGAAGATCTTGTGATTCTTTTTAGCAGGCCATGGAGATATTGTAATCTTTGGAGAGATCATATAATTGATTGAAAGTTATTTTATTATGACTATAAATATATCCTTAAGAGAAAGGCTTGGCATCCAATTGGAACTAGAAAATAGAGAGAAAAGAGAAAAGGGGAGAAGAGATTACATTTTTAAAAAGAGGAGAGAACTTCTTTGAGTGCTTCCATGGGGAGTTTTTGGCTTCTTCAAGTAGAAAGAGACAATGTTATTTTTAGCTCGATAAGATGAGAAACTTTGAATCATAATTGAATGGAGTTCTCGTTTGAACTCCTGGAACAAATAAAGAACTAAAGTGAATATAAAAACAACACCTTCTCCACCACCACATCTCAACTTTGCAATAGGTATTTTAATTCTCTCTGAGTCATTGACAAGACAAAGTATTATATTTCTCCATCTCTATGACTTATATGAAGTTTGATCTCTCCATATATTATTCTGAAGCTTAATAGATTATTTAATCCCTATGTGACTGGATGTAAGTGGATTTCATTGAAATATGTTGATTTCTCATGTTTGTATATTTTATCCATTGCCATTTGTAGCATAACAATTGGTATCAGAGCTTTGGATTAGAAAGCTATCAAAGTCAACGATGAAAAATGGGAAGATTGAAATAAATAAGTAAATGGCCATAACTTTAAGCTATAGAAGATGCAAATAGAGGGCAATGTCTTAGAGAAATCCTCATCAACCCTTAAAAGGAATAAAGTCATATTTGTCTTAACAGCAAGAACGGGAGCTAATGAACAAACAAATTATGATGTTATTTGCTCATCTCTCAACGATACCACTATTATAAGAATTGCGAGGGCTCTCTTTGCTTAAACAAAAATCCTTCCATTAATAAAAAACGAACATATAATGAAATTTTTTTTTATCTCAAGGTGTTAAAAGGAACTTCAATCACTGATTACATCAATGAGTTGAATTCAATTACAAGATTATAAAAAATCCATGAACGTCATGTTTGAATACGAGATCCATGTTATAAGTTTGTTTTATCATTACCTAAAAGTTGGGATGATGTTGTGATGAACATTAACAATTCTATAAATCATCCACCACAAAGTTCAACCCAAGAACAGATATCCGAAAGGATATCATATAGAGGCAAAAAAGAAGAAAAAACATCATTTTTTGTTTAAAATGTTTACAACAAGAGTGTTGTGCGAACAATCACAGCGGAAATAAAATCACACAATACAAACATAATAAACAAAGATTTATGTGGTTCAACGAAGATGCCTACATCTTCGGTGGGGGATGATTTTACTAATTTGGAGAACAATAGGGAATTACAAAACTCTCAAGCTTTCTCTCTTACTTTACAATAGCCCTCAAGCCCTCAATTTATAGACTTGAGACAAAACAAAATAGGAAAAAACTTCCTAATCTAATCCCCAATCAAATCCCAATCAAATCTCAATCAAATCCAATAATTAGGAAATAATCAATCCCTAATCAATAAGCCATCAAACTCTTCCAAATCAAGGCAAATTTTAATTTGGAAATATTTCCAAATCAAAGAGAAGGTCACAAAGCAAAAGAAACAAGCAAGGAAGAGAGATCAAAATCTCACTTTAAGAACATGCAATCAAATCATAATATAAATATTTGGAAATGTTTCCTAGTATCCCTATAGAGGGGGTATTAGGAAGTGCATTGGGCCATATTATTATGCTAATAAAGATGTGCATGGTTAAGTGAATAAGGCATAGCAATGCTATGTTTTCCATCATGTCATGCCAAGCAAGGCATATTTATGTGGTGCAAAGCATCAAGGCAATGTCTATATCCCCACCACCTACAAAGGCAAGCTTAGTTCATATAAGTGTTGTGAACTAGTGTGTACCCGAAAATCATGCTGATAATAAATATGCAAAGGAAAGTGTCTATGGTGCTCGCAAATACACATGGGTACAAGCACACAAACACGAATGCGTGAATAAGTGAGCGAGTGCTCATGAGTGAGTAGAAAGGGAGGGGCTATAAATTGAGAAAGGTAAAAAGGAGATCTTTTGGGTGTGTGCTAAGGGAGGTTGTCAACTTCTTTAAGAGGGAAGAGGTGCTGCTATTTTTAGTTCCATCAAGAGAAAAAAATTTCAGCCATAGAAGGGAAGCACCTATTTGAACTCTTAAAATAAAGATGGAAAGAGAGTAATTGCATCAACAATAATGTTTTCTTCTGTATAATCAACCATCATTTTTATGGCAAATAGTTGTGCTCTCTCTCATCCATTGACATAGACAAAAAAGGTATTATTGCCCTTATCTCCAACTTGATATTAGTGTGATCTATCCATATATATCATCTTTAAAGATTAGTGAATTATTTTTCATATCTTTATACATATTTAATTTGATTTTATCAGAGTTTTTTTTATTATTCTATTCTACCATGTCAAGCTAGTTTTCCTCACATAAACAAGCACAGAATTAAGTTGTAATTTGAAAATTAAAAAGCAAAATTAATGATAATATCTTTTTTCTCCAAATCATCTTCCCTGTGGACAATAAAATTATTTGCAACTGAGTTCTTTAGACAAAGCTTCTCTGTCACATTCACTTGGTTTTCTTGAGGAACTAGTTGCTTATACAATGAAACTGCTCCCCAAGCAATCGAATAGCTGACGAAAGGATAAATATTTGAGTAAATCATGAACAAACAAATCAAAAAGAGAAGAGGAGAATAGAAGTAGAGAGTAGATACCAAGTGGTGGGAGCTTGTAAGGCAGGACCTTTAGATTGTTAATGCCGAGAAGCCATGCTGCCATGTTCTCTTCTCCCCCATCGCCGACTTCTCCCATCTTCTCTGTTACTCAGTTCTCTGCACTGAACACTCCACCTGCCCTCTTCGTGGTATTAAGAATGGCGGAGATCGAGAAAGGCCGGCAAAAGAAAAAGGACTTCTTGCTCTTATCCGCTTTGGAAATAATTTGTATATTAAAAAAATCATTAGAATGTCCAATTCTATTGAGCTGTGAGGCTCCTTAATTATACCGCGCACCACAGTGAGGGTCTATTTGAGATAAATTTTTTTATTTTATTTTTTAAAATAATTTTTAGTGCATAAATTTTATGAATCAAAATCTTTTTTATTAAAAACTTCATGTAAAAAATATATAAAAAAAAATATTCCAAATAAAATCTAAATATTTCAAATCCAGCCCGAGCCTTAGTTATAGTTTTTCCTTCATTAACTAATCAAATTTGAATTTGAGCATAATTTAATAAATTTGAATAGACTTATAAATGAACTTATTTATTATAAAAAATAAAATAAAATCATCCTTATCATAATAATATGAGAAAAAAATGCTAAATAATAATAAAAAAAATCACTTAATATATTAATATAAAAAAGGAGATGCCATTTTAAAATAATTTTAACAACTTTATACTAAAATTATTAAAATTTAATTAATTATATTTTATATTGATATTTTTTAAATTACTCGCTCACCAGCTGATAAATCCAGTCGAATTTAACTCAATTTTTGCTTGTTAGGTCAGCTCAGGAGTATCAAGTCAAGCTCATGCAAGCCCGCGAGTCTACTTAACTCAATTACACCTCTAATACTATATATAATTAGGATCTAAATTTAAATTAAGTATCCGAATAACAATAAAAAAATTAATAAAAATATAAAATATTTATGCAGTAATTGTAAGATAATCATTTTATTTCATTCTAGAACAAAATCATGATATCACAAACTCCTAATTAAGTATCTTTCTTATCCAATTATTAAAAATTATGTACTCATAATTTTCATGATGAGAGTTGATCGAAATTCAAATTTATATCAAAATTATTAATACATAAATTATCCAATTTCGTCTAAATATTCCTTAAACACTGCATATAATGGCATTGGTTATGCTAACTTAGGCTTCGTCAGAGATAGTTTTCTTCCTATTTTCTAAAGCAGCTTTTAGTACAAAAATTTTAAGTTCACAAATTTTTTGTACTAAAAAGTTGCTTAAAAAAATAGTAAGAAAGCCATCCCAAACGAAGTCTTAGACTTTATTTGGGACAGCTTTATTACTGCTATCTAAGTAATTTTTCAATATAAAAACTTTTTGAATTAAAAATTTAATTTTGTACTAAAAAAATTACCTTAAAAAATAATAAGAAAGCTGTCCAAAGCCTAACCTTTCGTAGCTCCTTCCCCATAAATTCATTTTATATTAGCAATTGACTGATCGCTAATGGCTAAGCAGCAGCCATTTAACTCCCTGGAACAATAAAATGGCTTATTAATTCTACTGAAGAGTAATAAAATGGGATTTTTACATACATAACACTTAAAAGTTTCTTATTTACTCATCTAACATATAAACTTGACTATTTACACACATGCCACCTAAAACTTATTTAACTTTCTAAAATACCATTCTGTTTCCTCTCCGTCAAAATCCTCCTGTGAGACCTTGCGCTCTCATTCGCACACAAGAACCGATCCCCAGGTCCTCTCCCATCTCCTCCTGTTCGTGAAAATTGCCGTCGATGGAGGTTGAAGTGTTGAAGAAAAATTGTGGGATTGACTGCGGATTGACTGAAGGTATGTGGGAATAATTCTTTTGACGCCGGATTGTGGGATTGACGCAGGAAAAATCTAGAGGCACATATCCCAATCCTCCTGAAGAGCAGAATTCATCCTTTTGCACTTCAGATGTTCGGATAAAGGTGGCTGAAGGCTAGAAGGAGAAGGCGTAGGTTTTCACAAACCAAAAGATGAATTTTGCGCGCGATCCGGCTGGTTTTGACGGAGAGGAAGACCAAATGGTATTTTCGAAAGTGAAATAAGTTTTAGGTAGTAGCTGTGTAAATAGGAAACTTTAGGTGTTAGATGAGTAAATAAGAAACTTTTAAGTGTTATGTATGTAAAAATCCCTAAAATAAATGGAGAATTTTAATTTTCTTGTGAATACAATCACAAGGGATCAAAACTGGACTATCAATGATCACTTTCTCCTCTTGAGATAGCTAAAAAAATAGCTTAATTTGGATTAAAATGAAGTATATATTTTTGGATATGCTTTAAGATTAGTACAATGTATGTACATTATATTTATTACAATGCTTAATCAAGAAAATTAAAATTATTTTTCCAATCAAAATATTCTAGAGAGGATCTCCATGACTTGTCCTTGAATTATGTGGATTGCAATATGCCTTTAGTTATTTTATTTTATTCATATTAATTTGGTTGATAATTTTAGGTTTTGTTTTAAACAATTTTCTCATTGTTTTTTATAATAGTTTTTTAGCAAGCAATTTTTTTTAAAGTAGTGAAAAAATAGTGATAAAAAGTTGTTTCAAACAAAGTCTTAGGCATCCTAAAGGATGGCGTACATTTAGTAAGAAAGCCAGGATATTGGTATTAGGGTATAAGATAAGAGTAATGAGAATATTGAACTCAAACTTTATGGAGATTATTTTATATAAAATTTAATATTTATTATATATTATATTTGTATTAAATCATCTCGATCAAGTCTGTTAAGGGAACGATATGGACGGTCGCAGTTTTTATAAAGATGATTGTAAAATTACTATGGATAAAACAGTTTTTTTTTTAAAGCTGTTGCAGAAAACAGCTAAAAAAAATAGCTTATTAGCACTAAAAATTATTAAAAACATTGAAAAAACTGTTGTCAAACAAAAATTATGGTTACAATATGAAAAACAAAAATAGTAAAAAGCTATCCCAGACAACACCAAACTCATATTAACAGTATAATATATATAATATCATAACAAACTAGATGTTAATGGGTGTTCAATATATGAGTTATGGAAAGCAATTATCTTGTGAAAAAGATGCGTTCATGAAGTGTAATGCAAATATAACTCAAAGTTGATTCTCGAAGTAAATCTTGATCATAAACAAGAGCTGCTTGGCTATATCAAGTGCACCTCCTGTCATATAAGCACCAATATCTAATGCGTCCACCATCCCAACATGTTTGGTGAGAAGACAAATGAAAGTTAAGAGCTCACCTCCCTTACTTAATTGCTTCACATGCATGATTGCTCTTGTATTTTTTGCCCCTTGCATTAGGAGCTCCACCCATGCCGAGGTCACAACTCGCCATCTCTCTTCATCCTCAATAACAAACATCAAATGAGCAAGGACTCGTGCTATCTCAAACAAAGATGGATATCTAATCCACTCTATCGGAGTAGTCATCATCTTTCTGCATGCCTCCTCAACTTTTACATTTGGCATCAACAAGTGATGGTCATCACCACTTCTACGAATGAATTGAACCATATCATAACATGCATGCCAGAACACCAACGGGCTTGCTCCTCCCATGGTAGACATCATGTCTGGTCGCATCAACACCAAATACATCATGTAGTTTGATAAGTACTTGCAAACTTCCATCTCTGAGCTCTTCCTCTTTACTCCTCGTGGTTTGTTGTCTTCTTCTTCAATCTCCATTTGATGAGGATGCAAGGGATGTACAGACTTTGACTTCCAATGCAAGCAAAGCTCGGTGGAGATGTGCCATACCAGAACTTGTTGATCAAATGATAGGCCCTCTACAAGCTTAACAAATGATGGGACAACCCAAGTAGGGGCAGTTGTTATTTGTTGGAGAGCCGAAAGACCTGCAAGTTGATTAAATTTGTCCCATGATTCATGCAAGCGCCTTTGTGCATATGTAGCGATGATCTCCTGAAGCTCATCAGTTGCATGTACTGGTTAATTGGAGTGTGTGCAAGGTGTAAGTTTCAAAGCCAGTAGTCCAGCTCGGGTACAACTTTATCTCCTGCACAAAGCTCAACTTTGCTTTAATCCAATCCATTATCCCTAGTCGAGGAGCTCTAATTAGTGCAAAATTCTTTAGGCAATTACTAACTAGATTCAATTGTGGCATCTCTCCTGACCAATACCTTCTCTTTAGCCACACTCTTTTAATTCTAGCAATGTGCTTAGCGAGCCACTCGCCCCAATTATCCAACTTCTTCACATTGAGAAGAGTAACTATCATCCAATCAGAGAACAATATCATAATAGTAGCCATGACATCAAGGAATATAGAGGCCACGAGTAGGACATAAGTGATGACAACATCAAGTTTATCAAAATCATCCTTTGGCACCAAGACAAAGAGCGAGAAAGACAACAAAATGCAAATTGAACAAAGAGCTCGGAGAGCATACCCAACTCTAGAGTGATTTACAGTAGCCTTAGTATAAAGCTCATCAAAAGCATAATTAAGTTCCATGCCTGTCATTATCAAAACCTCCTTTGCTGTCATCTCCTTAATTAAATTTCCAGTTTTCTCATACACCTCAACAAGTGGAATAACATCAACAAAGAAAGGCTTACATGCAGAGTATAACCCAAAAGCTTCATTCAAGGAATTCAAATCTTCCATATTTGAAATGGTTGATGAAATGTTTGTTGGTAGTTTCCTAGCAGACGAGCTAATGGAGCTACGAAAGTTTTCGGTACTGGCTTTATAAAGTGAGTAAGAGCGCTCTACGTATTTGATGATAGCGACTAAGAATATCAAGATGGTGGGGGAGAGCAAACGAGTGTTGGGTAGGGAGCGAAAGAGGACATAGAAGGCGACAATGAGCTCATAGATAAGGCCAAGAAGATGGCGAGCCCATAGCTCATTGTCTTCCATGGAGTAGGCAATAATGGTGTCAGGGCCGCCAAGGTGAAGGATAAGGAAGGGAGCCCAATAAGCAATGATAGCATTAGAAGATGAAGAATCATCCATTGCATTGCTTAGTTGGCCGAGCACAAAGTCAGCGACCCAATCAGCAAGTAAGTAGCTGCTCCAAATTAACATTCTTATCCATATCGAAGTTGAAGTTTTTCTCAAACGCCCGAGGAAAATGAGAATTATTTGGACATAGAGACTAAGCAAAATTAGGACATGAATATCCCAATCGCTCCATAGTTGCTTGTATTTCTCTGGGATGTCCATTCTTCCTTCATGAACCTATAAGATAACCGAAAATATTCAATAATCGTATGGCTATTGTATATGACCTTTTGGACGCTTCTGTTGATTGTATATATGTTGATATGTGAATTATAGTAGTTGCTGTATTTCTTTCCTGTAATGCAATTGTCTCTGGATGACTGTATTGAACTGAACGAGAAACAAGACGAAAAGACTGATAAAGAAAAAAAAAAGAGATAAGAGAGATAGACGAATCCTTTCACTATTGATATCTGGGGCATCACAGAGAGACTAAGCAAAATTAGGACACGAATATCCCAATCGCTCCATAGTTGCTTGTATTTCTCAGGGATGTCCATTCTTCCTTCATGAACCTATAAGATAACCGAAAATATTCAATAATAATGAATGAAATAATGACACACATATTTCGATTTAAATTTAATAGGAATATCTTTTAATATTATAAGTTATTTTGAGAATTACCATACTTCATCTTATTTCCTAACCTAATAAAAATATATAAGCAATAAGATACACACCTATTTAGAGTACTCAAGATATGAGCAAAACAGCTGAAGAGATGACAAATTTTGTTGCCATACACTGTGAATGGGAAGTCCTTAATTATAGCTTATAATATACACACATAAAAGCAAAAGCATAAAGGAAAAGACCTCTAGAGACAGAGAACCTAAGGCTTTTGCTTCGCAGGAAGAGAAGCATAAAGAATTTTGCCATCTTTCCTTATTGAAAAAGCAAAGAATAGCAAATAAATTTCCATGTGAATGTTGCAAAAACAAAAATTTGTATCAGCAGTACTCAGACATTTAAAAATCATTTGTATTCATTTGCTTAAATATTAGATAGAATTTTAAATTTTGAAATATTAATTAGAGAAAAACTAATTTATTTATCATTATGTAATGCTACAAACATAAACACATTACAATAATTTGAAATATTAAAAAAATAAAATAAACAAACTAAATTAATTCCGGAATTGAAAATCATTAGCAGATCTACAGTGAAGGCCTTGGGGGCATAGGCCCCCACTGGGCCCCCACTTGCCCAACCGTTAAAAACCTTCTCATTTCAAATTATATTTATATACCCTTTGCATATATAAGTTTAATTATATAGTAAATTTAATTTTTAAAACTAAGCAATCCCTCCACCTCCACCTTCATTTCCGATTTGATTTTTTATATACCCTTTTGGGAAAAATTTTAAACTAGGTATTATTAAAAATTTAATAATGTAATTAAGATTGAAAAAAATAAATTTAAAAGTAGGCGAAGTCGCCCATCAAACGGGCGACTTATGCTGACTCAGACTTGCTGAGTCATGTTCCAGTCGCCGAAATGACATGCGACTTATTTAAGAAAAAAAAATTACTATTGTAAGTTACCAGTTAAACGGGCAACTTGCTACAGTAAATTTTGAAAAATAATTTAAAAAAAAATAAGTAAAAAATATATTAAATAAATTTACAAGAAAAATAATAAAAAATAAAAAATAAAGACAAAAAAATGTAAAGTTATGATATTTACTTTCGAAGCTCGTGTTTAAGGAAAAACTTTGAATCATTAATTTTTTTTATCACTTTACTTTTTGGTATAACGCCTATCCATTAAAAATACAAATTGCAATTTTAATACTGTCAAAATAAATGAAATAATTCAATAATGATTTGCTAACAAGATAATGATTACATTCACTAATCCAAATTGAAAAGTAAATTATAGAGGCATTCTATTTAGACTCTGAAAGCTCAGCACAAATTAAATCATATTTTTCCTATATTCCATAAGAATGAGATTTGTCTACATTGCATATCAACTCATTACTATTTGTATAAGCGCTCTTTTTCTTGATCTTTCCTACGTATGAGACCTGCATAATTATCTATAAAAGGATTTTAGGGGACTATGTTAGATAAAAAAAATGTGACTAAATTATAAATAATATCTATTTGTATTTGAATTCTCTAAATAAATAAATATCATATTTCATAACATATATGATTAAACTTATTGAAATTAATTTTTTTTTTCATTAAAAATATTTAATAATTAAAAAAAATTATAATTACTTAAATATTACATTTAATAAATATTTAATTAAAAAATAACCAAAAAATTCTTACATTTAATACTATTAACTCTAACATTGAATATTAAAAATAAAAAATAATTTCATTCTAAAGAATTGACTGACCAAATTGATCTCTCAAAAAAATTGGGATATTATTACTATTAACAATCAACATAATTCTTTATAATAAATGAATCTCCACAAACTTATATATTGAGACCAAAGCTTCATTTGAGATAGCTTTTGACCACAATATTTTTACTGCTTTTATGATATATTTGAATTAAAAATTTGCTATGAAAAAAAATAAGAAAACTATCTCAAACCAAGCCCAACTTAATTCCCATAATCTCCATCAATACAAGTTAGGCACACGGCTCAGTATGCTCTACAACAAATCTTGCAGATAATCAACCAAGAAATCCAAATATTTGCATTTTATTCATTCCTAAAATTATAAAATTGAAATCATTATCTGATTCCTAATTTTTCCATTTCACCCTCTAGGTCATTGATGCATTAACAAGAACTAAAAATAAAACTCCAACAGCCAGTATAAAGCGCAAAAGGGCCAGCAAATTAGCAAGTCGAGTGACGCAAAATTTTTTAATACTTGTGAATGAGCTGTTTGTATGCTTCTTTGTTCTTTCCATAATAATCAATCTCTGCCTGCAGCAATGAAAATTGCTTCGAGTCAATTAACTGGCTAGTCAAGAAGGTAAAAATCGCAAGAGGAAGTGGCAGAAAGAACCAGAATTTTTGATGCAGTATACGTGGAGGAAGAAAATTCACAAGTCAAATAAAAGTCGCTCGCCATGAAAAAGATGAGTTTCTCGCATAAATAAAAATTGTCAGATCTTTGGTGAAGCAAAGAAGCTTAAAACCAATAACAAATGAAGCCCAAATTTGTTAATTTAATCACTCCAATTGAGCTTGCTACAATAGTAGAAGAATTATATGGTTTTGATATAGGAAGAAAATTGAAGAGAGTTGCAAATATAATTTGCAATTGGAGAAGCGATTGAAGGTTCATAGCCCTTTCGTTCAACACGAGGATAGTTGAGGCTGCACAGACTTGCTTTCTCAAGGTCTAATTGCTGAAAATACTGTTGAATTAATCGTACAAGGTTTTGAGGATTTACGCACCCATTTCTAAATGAAGCATTAAATATGGAATGTTAAGAGACCTAGAGAAGAATGGAAAGAGACAACGAAGTCAGAAATTGTGCTGTAGTTAATAGATGTAATTTGGTTTGTTTGGGTAAACTCGAGATCAATATTCTAAAGCATTCATGGGGTAAGCAAGTAGAGGTGCGTAGGATGAACAGATGGAAATTCAGAATTGCTAATAGATCTGTTGGTGGTATTCTGGTGGGTTATTGATTGATAATCAAAATTGAAGGCAAAAGTAGCACAATCAAAGAATTTTCTATTGATCTTAAGGCTACGATATCCATCTTGCATTGTGACAGAGGAAACAAAAAGACTCACAGAAGCTCCACGAGATACATGCTGCTTAAAAACTACACTGATTTTGGCCTACTATGGTCCAGGATCGCTACCGCAATTTCAATTATCATTTTCAGAGTGTGGTCTAGGTTATCAAAACATGCCACAACAACTCATGTGGGTGGGTCGCTTCTCAATTGAGCTCTCGCAATGAGCTGAGTTTGGGTGGTTTAAAAAGCTCAATGTCCAATCTACACATCACGAACCTCACAATTGTGTCATTTTGTAGGGTGCCCTATTAATGGGTGAATCATGGATATGATAGGTGTTTCCTCTTTAATATGGCTTCATCTTACTAGTATGGGATCAACCATCCAAAGATGAAACCAAAGTTAAAAGATTCCTCTGTAAGTCATCAAAACCAATCGCAATGTCTCATAACAATTGCACCTAGTTTGGCTCCCAACAATAACCAAAGATAACTCTACGGATATAGTAAGCATTCCCACTACCATGTGATCTTTTCTTAACAACCAAGGATTAGTTCTAATTTTCTCACGCATAGGTTGGTCTGATTTATTACAAGCAACCACAATTTTTATTATTATTGTCACCCAGTTGGGCTCATTTCTGAGCTTGTTCTGTGTTAATAAAACCTAAATCAATAAGTTAGTTTAGCTCACATTAAACTTCATTTGGGTTAAACCAACCACAATTTCACATTATGATCGTCTCCCTAATTCAACACATTTATAAGCTTGTAGTGGGTTAATAAAACCTATATCAGTAGCCCTATTTAACTCACACTGAACTTAATATGATTTATTAAGATCAACCATGATTTCCCATTGTGATCATTTCCCAGTTCAACTCATTTCTAAGCTTGACCTCGGTTAACAAAACCAAATTAATAACTCAATTTGGCTCTCACCAGAATTTGGTATGGGCTATCAAAATCAGTCGTGATGCCTCACACTGATCACATCCTAGTTTGGTTGTCCTTGAGCCTAGTCTAGGCTGTCAAAATAAATCATGACAGCCTATTGTAGGCAACTAACTATCCAGTTCAACTCATCTCAAGGATGGTCTGGGTCGCCAAAACTAAAATACTAGTATGTTCCCATTCGAGGGCTAGTGACCCAAATATTTCAAGGAGTTCCAAGGGCCACTTAACCCTTTGCCATTGGCTTGAGAAACCCTATGAAAGAAACGTCCATATATAGTTAATAAAGAAACATAGATGGAAACAAACCCACCCCGCACCACATGAAAACTAAGAAAACTCATTACAACACATGCAAATCCCAAGGTGTAATACCCAAGGTGGCACAAAGCCTAGGATTTCTCTCTTTTGCAAATCCCAGTGCAATTCTTTTCATGATTATCTGGGTGTGTGTCAATCATGTGTCTCCTATACATATAACATTTTGCCTGCATCAACATTTATACATTCTAGGATAACAATCTTGGCCAATAAATGAAACAAAATTCAAGAAAAAACCAAGACCCTAGCAACACGCCTCTGTGGGCTCCGAAAAATTCCAATTTTTCGGGATGTGTGATCCCGGGGGAATTTTCAGAAGGCAGATTGGGTTATAAGAGGAACCCTAAAAAATAACCCACATGAATAGAGAGATTCCCGATTCCACCTCCTCCTATCTAGATTGGCTCCTATTGCACCTCTCTCTCTTGAGAGAGAGAGACAGACAAGAGAGAGAGAGAGAAAGAGAGAGAGAGACTTCCCATCAGCTTGCACTCGCACAAAGAAGATGAAAAGGACGACTCATTCTTTCTGCCAAAGTCCTTGTAACCCTAATGTCAAGATGCTACATTAGCTCGAGCATTGGTATATTAAATACAAGTGCAATATAATATAATATATATTAATAAAAAATAATATAATGACTTTATTTTTTTTACATAACATTATCGAGAAGACGCCCCAAATGCCTTGAAGCATGAAGTGTTGAGGCATAGGCCTCATACAAAAAGGCGTAAGCCTCATTGGTGACAATGAGACTTAAGATCTGAGTCATTTTTTTATACGGCTCAATTCAAGGCGTGCCTCAAGGCATACACCTTGAACGCTTTTTAAACAATTGGGTATAGGATCTAAAGAAAAGATCACTTTCAGTAAGCCAACCACTTCATTTAGTTAATCCTTACTATGTCTATCTTATGTTTAGCTGGATGTTGTTACTCTTTTAATTTGATGTATGGCTTGAGCTTCTCTTCTATTGTAGTGTTTTAGCCTAGGTTCTTTGACTGAATCTCTAGCCCTTCCAAGTTCCATTATTTTTTCATTCTCTAAGAATAAAACTTCTACGAGTAGCATTTGTAATCTCTTTTTTGTCAAGAAACAAGAGTGAAGGCTATGCTGACCCCAGATCCCCAACTGTTCTACTTGAAACCTAAAATATTTTTCCTTATTTAAGGGAACAAAGCGGTCCAGATTGTTTTTTTTCCTTACAACAATAGAAAAACATTGGCAGATGCAGGACATCAAAATTGGGAACAAAAAAAAGGCAAACAAGCAGTTCAGGACAAATCATAAAAAGACAATTAAATCAATGCCAACATTATAACAGAACAATCAATATTTAAAAGGTAAAGAACCACTGAGAGGGTATCCAATGATCATAGGAGGAGCTTAGGGCAATTCTGACCAAGCAAAACCAGAGCTGATGAAGCACAAAAGGCTTCCATGCAAACTATGACGGAACCCAAAGTAGAAATGGAAAGTCCCTAGATGTGCGTACATGTTTGAGGAGAGAGTTCATGCGCATATAACTCATTTCCATGTATTTCAAGCATGTAGGATCAATTAATGGATTAGAAACCTTCCTTACAATACAGATCATTGGGCAAAATAGTTCAGAAAATAAGTCATCAGAATGTAAAGAAAATAGAAAAGCAATTATTCCTCCTAACATGTTATTGCATTTTTTAGATGAATTAAAAATGCCAGCAGATGAGAAAATATGAAATAAGATATTACCTTGCGGACGCCTATAACAGCGGTTATAAGCTTTTGTCCAAGTAGATCTTTCAAAACATTATCTTCAGCAAGTGCTTGAATGGATTCGTGCAATCCTTTTGGCAAACTTTTAAGTACTGAATCATGACTAGATGGATTTACTTCTGTTTTATATGACAATAAGATATGAGAACAATAAAATTATACTGTCAAAAATAATAATGATAAGAAAGACTATACAATATAAATACTGAGATAATACGTGTCATTGAACATGAAAATAAATAGTGTTTAAAAATTAATAATAATATGAAATAGAATTTACAGGGTAAATACTTAGGTAATGCTTGTCATTTAACATGAAGAAGAAGAAGAAATCTTTAACTGTTAAATTTGGTATAACAGTTGAAGCATCACCAAGAAATTGGATGTACTGATTTTATGTTAGTATACAAGGAAAAGATGGAAATTCTGCCCAAAATAATCAATTTTTTCTTTTTTAAAGAATGTGGAAATTATAATTGATCCACTCAGAAGGATGCATCGCATAATTTTGAAATTGAAAAGCAGGCTGTGTACACATTATATAGAAATTAATCAAACCACTATTTTTCCCTTCCCATGGGAACCGTGGAGATGATATATATATTCATGTGGCTTTCATCATCAGTAACAGGTGCTGATCTCTATGCCCAAGGTGCTATCAATAACAGTCAATGAAATTCACCAAAAATATCTGATCCAGAGTTTATTGTACAAATCCTATCTAGGACAGCTAGTCATCATCAATGGTAACTACTTGAATGTCATCCAAGGACAAAAACAAAGATCCAACCCAACTCAACCCAGGCATGCACAAGTTTTGTAGTCGAATAAATTGTGCCTTGACTTGCGACTATGTTTCGGCTCACTTTGGCTAGCTCCCGTGAGCTGCTCCTGCGCTTCCCTTCATTTCCTCGTCTTCGTGCTCAGGCTTTCTCCCAGCATGTCATTTGGTGTTGTGCTTCATCAACTCGGTTTCGTCATATGATATGTGTTGGCTGCTGTTCAGTTTGTGCGTCTGGGCTAGGTTTTTAAGTTCTTGAACCTGTCTGCAGATGCCTTGAGTTGATTCTTTTTTTGGTTGCGACCTAGTTCTCTGCTTTCCTGTGGGCTCCGAAAATTCGGCCTCGGTCTCCGCTCGCTTTTCCTTATTCGGCAAGGGAGTTTTAACGAACTAAGTTCCGAGGTAAATTTTGGAAACTTTAGGTAATGCTTGTCATTTAACATGAAGAAGAAGAAGAAATCTTTAACTGTTAAATTTGGTATAACAGTTGAAGAAATCACCAAGAAAAGTAATTGGATGTACTGATTTTATGTTAGTATACAAGGAAAAGATGGAAATTCTGCCCAAAATAATCGATTCTTTTTTTTTAAAAGAATGTGGAAATTCTAATTGATCCACTCAGAAGGATGCATCGCATAATTTTGACATTGAAAAGCAGGCTGTGTACACATTATATAGAAATTAATCATACCACTATTTTTCCCTTCCCATGGGAACCGTGGAGATGATATATATATATTCATGTGTCTTTCATCATCAGTAACAGGTGCTGATCTCTATGCCCAAGGTTTAGTGCTATCAATAACAGTCAATGAAATTCACCAAAAATATCTGATACAGAGTTTATTGTACAAATCCTATCTAGGACAGCTAGTCATCATCAATGGTAACTACCTGAATGTCATCCAAGGACAAAAACAAAGATCCAACCAAACTCAACCCAGGCATGCACAACTTTTGTAGTCGAATAAATTGTGACTTGACTTGCGACTATGTTTCGGCTCACTTTGGCTAGCTCCTGTGAGCTGCTCCGCCGCTTCCCTTCATTTCCTCATCTTCGTGCTCAGGCTTTCTCCCAGCATGTCATTTGGTGGTGCTTCATCAACTCGGTTTCTGTCATATGATATGTGTTGGATGCTGTTCAGTTTGTGCGTCTGGGCTAGGTTTTTAAGTTCTTGAACCTGTCTGCAGATGCCTATACTTGATTCTTTTTTTGGTTGCGACCTAGTTCTCTGCTTTCCCCTCCATACAATGTTCACCTTTCCTCGCTCCAGATCTACTTTGCTCGTGTCCTCACTTCTTTTGGGCTGCTTATCTTGAATTTCCTTATTTTCCCACCCATCTCCTACTAAGTTTTTCCCTCCTTACTGAGTCCAAGGATTTCAACAATTTCCACCAAGCCACCATCACCGCCCCCTAACTTAGTCACTTAATCATCTCAGAGGTTCCTTCGTATATTTCTTGCACTTCTCACTCTTTTGCAAATGCAGTGGACGAATTGTTGGGTTCGGGATCACTTCCATCTTCTTCCACTCAATGTCCATTATTTTTTCATCAAGCCTCAAATTCAAATATACATAAGCAAGCCTCTAGTTTTCAGGTCAAACACATGCGCATTTTCACTGATGCTAAGATCTCTGACTTGCTCAACCATTCACTTCCTCTATTGTTATCAAATTCTCACTAGGTCATCCCAACATGGATGTAATTTGAAATTCACATTAGATTTGCAATTTACTGGTAAACACTCATTTAGTCTCATTAATCATTGTTATATCATTATCAAACTTTCTTTAAATTCAGATTACTCTAGAATCTTTTGTCATAATACCTCCCAAGTCTGGTAGATTTTCGATGTGAATGCTAGAGTAGTCCCCTCATTTTGTTGCTTCTAAGGAAGCATGTATTTAGGCCATCAATGGTCAGGATCCTAGTGGAAATTATCATTACTTCTCTGCTCCAAAAGGTGTGAATTGGCTTAACATCTCGTGATTAGCAAAAAGTTGAATTTGATGGCATCCCCTACTATTGTTCATTCTGTATGATCTTTGGCAAAAAAATATTCTGATTGCTTCAAGGAACATTAAGATTTATGAAAATCTGTTAACCCCTGTATAAAGAGCAAAAGAGGAAAGCAGAGATTTCTGTGTCGTTGAATCCCAGAAATTCCGCACACCTCGGATTGTCGAAGGATCCCCGAAATCCTGCATGAAATCCTGCGAGCTGCTCTGATCTACGATCAAATCCCGCAAATCCAGCCGACGTTCGCATCTCTTCCCGTATTTCCTGCGATGGTGCCTCGATCGAACAACCACAGGCGTCGTTAAATAGAAGCCGAAGCCCCCTCTCTTCCCACGCTCGGCTCCACACACGATCGAAATCCTCCTCCTCCCAAACCTCTCTTCCAATCCCGACCACTGCCTGTGCCAAGCCCGATCTCAAAGAAGCAGAGAGAGAGAGAGAGAGAGAGAGAGAGAGAGAGAGGAAGAAGAAGCTGTCATTCTTACCTAACTAAAGCCGATCGGAAGCCCCGACGACATCCGACCTCCTTCGATCGGAAGCGACGACGTCCGACCTCCGTCTCCGATCGAAACCCGACGCCGAACTCACCCTACCCGTCGGATCCCGAGCCTTGTCCGAACTCCTGGCCGACCGAACTCCCAAGCCGAACGCCTCTAGCCGCTCGTGCCCCTGCTCCGACTCCTTTGTGCCGACCGACTTCGTACCTCCAACGACGACTTCCCTTTCCGGTTGAGATCGGAAGTTCCAACATTTGGATCGGAAGCAATAACGTGAGTTCGCTGGCTGTGTAGGTGGCCTTCTCCCCTCATGCGGGCTTCTTCAGCCAAATCTCTTAAACAGAGAGTTTAAGAGAGTTAAACTCTCTGTTTAAATAAGATTAGGAATTTATAATTAAGATAAATTAATTATAATATTAATCATAATTAGTTCATCAAAAAATTATAAATTAAAATGATTTATTTATAATTAATTTAAATTAATATAATTAATTGTATATTAAAATATAATTAATTATAATTAGTTTTTTATTAATCATAAATTAAATCTAATTAAGTTATGATTAATTTTAAATTAAAAATAATTAACTATAAATTAAAAATACTCTACTTCGGCGTTCGTGGCGCACCGGAAAACCGCCTATACACGTCTTTATTGCGCGTGGTAGGATGGGACCCCGGTGAGGCACCTACGGCGAGGCGGGGTCACCCATAAGTACTTCCGAGCGGGGGGAAAGTAAATTGTGTATTTTAAACAGGTACCGTCAAAGACCCCATACACGCCTTTATTGCGCGTGGTGGGAGGAACAAAAAATCATGGCCGCGGTGTCCTCATTCGAGGACACCTACCATACATGTTTTTATTGCGCGTGGTGGGAAAAGCCAAGTTTTCTCGTAGTTTTCCCCTAAACGGGGGAGAAGCCGAGAGGCTGCCGAAATTTCGGGTGAAATCGTACCTGGACTTGATTGAACTCAAAGAACAATGGTGGACTTGTGAACTTGATTGGACCAAATTGACATAAAAGAACTCAAAGTCAAATGAACTAGTACTGTGGACATAAACTCAATTTGAACGAGAACTTGGACATACAAAATTGACTACAAATGACATGAATTGGGACTTAATTTGAATATCAAATGAACATGAACTTGGACTCTCATTTGAACTTTAACTTGCCACTTGAACTTGAACTCATTATTGGACTTGAGTTAGAACGAGATCTTGAACTCAAATGAGTTTGGCGCGAGAAGCTTTGACTTGAACATGAACATGACAAAGGAGTTAAAGCAAGATAGCTTGAACATCATCATGGTGGACTAAGCTTGAATTTGAATAAAATATAAAGGACCCAAAATGAAACTAAGAAATATTGGACTTGGTTCTAAATGAAGCATTTGAGTTGAACCAAGCTCAAATGAATGAGTGGACTTGACTTTGAACATTCAAACTCAAAAGACTTGAACAAATGATAAAGGACTTGATGGCTTTAGACAACAGTGCACTTTTATGAAGAAGGAATTTTGTGATAAATACAGAAGCTCGCTCAAAGCCAAAGTTACTCAAGTGTAAATAAACACTAGGCTCCAACAAATGACAACGATCAATGACATGAAGTTTCCCATGAAGATCAAGAGTCCTCATGTAAAACTAGCTACAAAGCAAAGATCTGCAATACATACAATCTTTCTACGAATACGGGTGTATGTATAACATGTCATTTATGGGTAGGTGTAGAAAGACTTCAGTAAATGCAGTATCATGAAGTCAATTTCAGTCTGAGAAGGAAGACATCTACCTACTTACATGCAGCAATAGCGG